ATTGGGCAATTCCCAGCGCTGGAAGCAGATGTTTTTGAGAAATGCTGTCCTTTATCTTGCAGGCTTCCTTTAGACAAGATGTGCTTGGTTAACAAACTGTTAGAAAACCACTTGAATTTTCAAGCGAATGACAACCGACACTTGAAGCTGGTATGTTTTTAAAGCCCTTACTCAAAAATATTCAGAAACTATTGTAAAAGGAAAATAACTGTGAGGACTGTGGCATGCATCTACTACGGAGTCTCGTTCTCCACAAAAACCAGAGTGCTGTTCTTGGGGGTTGTTTTCAGATTTCAAATATGAATTTTTTTTGGCATATAATGTGAGCCAGGACTCTCTGGATATTTTGATTACAAGTTTCTTGAGGATTTTAAATTCACTCAGGACTACTAATTTGTTTTCACTCTCCTTTTGCTTTTTTAAGAATGTCACATAACTTGGTTTTTTTAATTGGTGGCATACTGATAACATTTTTTTTTTCTTTTAGTCTTTTTGAGACAGGTTCTCAAACGTGTGATCCTCCTGCCTCAGCTGCTGAACACACCACCCCAGGCTTATTCTAGTTTTAGCAACCCTACCAGGTGTGCAGTGGTTTCTCGTTTCGTTTTTATTTGTTCCTTCCCCTATTGTAGCAGTGTGTCTTGCAGGCAGATCACTGTTTTTTAGGTCGCAGTGTTTGTACTTGGCTAAGAGTGATTTCTTTGTTCCTCCAGTAGTGTGTCAAGTACCCTCTACAGGCATGGCTACAAGCTCTTTGATTTGCTGAGCCATCTTGATGTTCTCTTATTCTTGATACTGGAAATCTGAGTCCCCTTTCCAATTTTTCTGTCAGTTGGTATGGCTACAGTTTCTCAAAGCTTTTAATCATCTTAATCTTCTCAGTGGACACCAGCCTGATTTCTCCATGTTCCACAATACAAGGAAGTGGTGTCTAGGCAACAGGGCCTCACCACCAGGTTTTGGAGAGCAACCAGTAATCTTGAATATAGTCTTGGTGTTTTGGATGGTCTATGGGATTCTTTTGGCCAATGACTCAATAAGATGTAATCCATTCCTGGAAGTTTTACTTTATGACATAAGGTGTCTAGTTTGGACAGTGTGTCTCCTTACATGGTGACCCTGTTTGAATGTCTTACGTGTATGTATATATTTTAGAAAGCATCTACAGAAGTGGGTTTTCATATGGCTGTTCCATAAATCTTCAGTGTTGGTCCTCCTTCCCCGCATTCTCTCCTCTGCCCTCTCTCCCTTCCTGATCTCCATTTAGTCTTCCTGTTCTAGTTTCCCCTTCATCTCTTTATAATACTATATGCTACTTTCCATTCTTTAGAAGGTCCCTCTTTCCCACGTGGTCTCTCACTAGCTACCTAAACTCTGTAGTTTTTCAGACTGAATCCTAAGATCAGAAGCCTAAAAGCTAGCAGGTTTCCCCTTATATGTTGATATTCAGTCTTTTATGTTTAATAATAGTAGGCCTAAGTTGTAGAACATTCTTTATATTTCTGGTTTATTGCGAGGTCTTTGTAACAACACATATTGAATATTGACAACTGTTTTATCTATATTGGTTGAGCAGATTCCCTTCTCTTTTAATTCATCAATATTATTAAGCACATGCTTCTTTTTCAAAGTTGAAATAACCTTGAATCCCTGAATTAAAATAAACTTAACCCCGTGTCTTGAAACAGGCTTCCCTGGATTCAGGGTATCAGTCTATCTGATTTAAGTCTTGGTGCTGACAGCCATGAGGAGTGTCTGCCATTTTTATCAGTGTATGCATGGTTTCAGTGTCAGTGTTAGCATAGGAATCCTAGGGTGGGTTGGAGACTTTTTTTCTCCCCTCCTAGTTTCTTAAATGTGTTGAATGGAATTAGTTTCACTTCTTTAGTAAAGGTTTGGTTTGGCTCAGCAATAGTAGGAGCAAAGTCATCCAAGTGTGTAGTTGTAAGGACATGATTAAAACTATGAATTCAGTTTCCTTAGTACATTCAGCTCCTCAGGTCTGGCTTTGAGTGAGCATTGATAACCTGTGTCTCTCAAGAAATGT